AAGAAAGAAAGAAAGAAAGAAAGAAAGAAAGAAAGAAAGAAAGAAAGAAAGAAAGAAAGAAGGAAGGAAGGAGAGAGAGAGAGGAAGAGAGAGAAAGAAAGAAAGACAGGATAATCTGAAGATTATTTTATGTGTCTGTAAAGATGAGGCTGGCACTCAACCCCAGTGCCTCACGCATGTTAGGCACAGCATAGCACAGAGAGATAGATAGATAGACAGACAGACAGACAGATGATAGGTAGGTAGGTAGATGATAGAGAGATAGTAGATAGATAGATAGATAGATAGATAGATAGATAGATAGATAGATAGATAGATAGACAGACAGATGATCGATTAGAAGGTTGATGTATTTATGTATCCATGCATGCATAAATAGACACGTAGGCATTGTAAATGGCGGTGGTGAAATGTATGCTGCTAGTTACCCGCTACCAGGACTACCTGAACATTAAATGTTCTATTTTCTTTACTTTCTTATCACAGTCGTGGCTTTCTCAGACAGTTCAAATCACCTGGGCGACAAGATGGGATAAGAATGAGTGAGCAGCCAGGCCTCTGCTGTTAAAGTACCACTGTATCTGTTTCCTCAGGAAATTACTACAGTCAAGGAGAGATTCGGAAGAAAGAACTTCTGCAGAGCTGTGACGTCTTGGGGATCCCACCTTCCCGGGTAACGGTCATTGACAAGAGGTAATTCGTCCTTCCATAATGTAGAAACCCACTGGCAAGAGATATCCACTGGTACACCGAAAGACACGCACCTACTGTGAGTGCAAATCCTTTTCACTTCAGAAGTCTACTTTTACTTTTGTCGTGTGGTTGGTTGGTTTTCCAGACAGGGTCACGTGTATCCCTGACTGGCCTTGAGCGCTCTGTGTAAGATCACCTGTGTGAGGGTGAGCTTGAACTTCTGACCCGGCTGCCTCAGACCCCGGAAGTCAGGGTTACAGGCATGTGCTGTTTAAATCAAACCCAGGACTGTACATGTTGTGAGAACTCTACCGACCCAGCTACATCTCCAGCCTCCTGTACCTTAGAAGCAGCAATTTCCCCAAGGCTTGGTTTTCCTAGCAGGGAAAATATAGAGACTTCTACCTGCACTGCAGTAGAATTCAATTCTACCATCATTATTTCTCATCATTACTTGATCTTGGTAACGGGCAGAACTAGGACATCTATCTTTCCTTTTGTTTTTGTTTTTGTTTTTGTTTTTTTTTCAAGACAGGGTTTCTTGGTGTAGCTGTGTAGTTCTGGCTGTCCTGAAACTCTCTCTGAGAACAGGCTGGCCTCAAACTCACAGAGATCCACCTGCCTCTGGCTCCTGAGTTCTCGGTTTAAAGGTGTGCACCCGGCGGACATCTATCTTTTAAAGAGATGGAAGAATCAGGAATTTATACTGATGGCAACAATAAAAAGTATTTCGGGATTTTTACAATTGAATTTTTTTCTCCTACACTAACCATCTTGTTTTCCAAAAACACAAACATAATTACTCATTTTCTTTTCAATTTTGTTAAGAAGTTGCCGGATGGTAGGGGCTCATCCCTTTAATTCCAGCATTTGGGAAGCAAAAGCAGTCAGATTTCTGTGAGTTCGAGGCCAGCGTGGTCTACAGAATGAGTTTCAGAGCAACCAGGGCTACACAAAAACACCTGTTTCAAAAAACCAAAAAATAAAAAATAAAATTAAAAGAATAAAAGGAACTAAAAATTTTTAAAACCATATATTTTTCTATGTAAATATATTTGTGGCTGCTTATTTAATTTTACAAAATCAAGGAATGGGTTTGTGAGTATCATGAAATCTGGGACTTAAAAATTTACACTGTACCAGTTGATTTCATGAATTTCACAGTTTGGGCACTTAAAGATATCTCATCAATTTATTTATGTACTGGGGTTTGTGCTTGCGGCTTATTTATTTATTTTTGCGGTAAGGTATCACCACTTAGCCCTGGCTATCTTAGAACTTGCTATATACACCAGGCTAACTTTGAAATCACAAAGATCCACCTACCTTTGCCTCCCCACTGCAGAGATTAAAGGCATGTGCTACCATGCCCAGTTCCTAACTAATAATTTTTCAAATGTTTCTTAAAATATTTTCCTCTTGGAAGACTGAGGTAGGAATACTGCCAAGAGTTCAAGGTCAGCCTAAAGCAACAGAATGGCAGAATGAAATCCTATTTTTCAAAAAAAAAGTAAGTGAGAAGGGAGGGAGATAACGGTAGCTGCTGTCAAACTGGACATCCCCAAGACTTACCAATTCCTGTAAGTCATCCTGTGACACAAACTACACAAAAATAAATAGACATTTTTTAAGTTTAAATTGTGTTTATATATATATGTACGCATATGTGTTTTTAATATTTGCTCTGCTGGCTTTTGATTATTTATTTAGTGTATATGTGTGTGTGCTGTGCATGTGCGTGCGGGCACATCAGAGAACAGTTTGTGGGGATCTGATCTCTCCTTCCAGCCTGTGGATTCCAAGGATGGAACTCAGATATCTTCATGTTTGGTGTTGGTGTCCTCACGCTCTGAGCTGAGCCGGCTCCCTGGCCCTGCTCTGCTGTTTGTAGAGAACAGAAGTGGTAGATAAAGGGATTGTATCTCTTCTAGAATCTCTTTCTCACTGTTCGGGAGCTAACCCTAGTTTAGTGTTGGCAGGGAAGCACCAATCAGTGTCTATGGTGAACGGGTAACTTTACAAACACAGTTATTTTGACTTCATATTTTGGAACACACAGAGGAGGAAGACATGACTCACTTGTCTAAGAAGTGCTCTCTCTGGTGCAGATTCTGGATATACACTCGCCAAGGAGCAGGAAGACCTGCCAAGGGCTCTCCAGTCCGCACCCCAGGAAGAGACCCGTCATCCTTATCACTTGTCTATCTTTATTTTCCGCGTCTTCCCAACAAACTTGATCTCAGTTTGTTTTGGGTTGGGGTGGGGCACCTTGTTTCTTGATCCTACAAGATTAGAACCTACATATTATTGAATGAAGGCAGGGTGTGACTGCTCTAGACAAGAGGGAAATAGATTACAATGACTGATCTGTGGGGATTGTTTTAGATAATTTCAATGGAGGAACTTTCCCACACTAAGTCATCCGCAGACAGAGTGAGTCCTGGCAGCTCAGTGGCATCATCAAAGATACCATAATTAGGCCAGACACAGTGACACATGCCTTTAATCCCCATACTCATGAAGCAGAGGCAGGGAGATCTCTGTGACTTTGAGGCCAGCCTGGTCAACAGAGCAAGTTCAAGGACAGTCAGGGCTACACAGAGAAAGAAATCCTGTCTTGGAAAAAAATAATAAGAAGAATTAGCTGGGCATGGAGGTATACATCTATAATACCAACTGAGCAAGGAGAATCATGAGTTTAAAGCCAACATAGGCAAGATCTACTATTATCTATTTAATATTTTCCTACTATTTAGATTTTTCTAATGATTTGCAGTTTTGAGATATATTAGTAAATCTTTAAGCCTTTAGAAGAGTACTCAATAATAAACTAGTAGGTCAAAGAATATGACTTGCAGTTTTGTGTTTTTGTTTTATTTTTTTCTTTTAGTTGGTTTGAAAGTTTTTGCTGTGCTGGAGACCAAACCTGAGCTTTGTGGTGCTCAGCGAGTGCTGCCTCCTTGGCTGCCCCCCGCCCCCCCCCGCCCCAGCCCTACAGCAGCTGTCTTCACCGGGGAGTGAAAGCATTCTTGCTGTTTATTTTGAGTAATCTTGGTTTTGTTACTGTTGTGAATAAGATTTTTCATGGGTCTGTTTTTTACTTTTTAATTATATTTACTGTGTGTTGTCTGTACACATGTATGACATACATTCATGCTATTGTATGTGTGTCTATGTGTGTGTGTGTACATGAATGCCATGATATTCATGTGGAGATCAGAAGATACATTGCGGAAGTCGGTTCTCTCCATCCACCATGTGGCTTCCAGGGACCAAACTCAGATCATCAGGCCAGAGTAGCTTTTTTTGAAAATTTGTACATTTTTATTCGAATGCTTATGAGATACAGTGTGAATGGGCGTGTGTTCTCATGTGTTGTGGCACACAGATATATGAGCATGCTCACCTGTCTACATATGCATACAGAGGCCTGAGGTTGACATTATATGCTAGAATGATGACAAACCACCAGCTGGCATGTATGTGGATTCCGGGGACCTGAGCTCTGGTCCCCACTCTTACATGGCAAGCAGCGTCTGCTCCCTATCTCCCCAGCTCCAGAATAGCCTTTCATGTCCATATTTCTATTGACCATCCTTTCAAAATAATCTCTTTTTTCTAACTGTCCTAACTTGTTTTCTATTGTAATTAAACACACACACACACACACACACACACACACACACACACACAAAGCTAACAGCTACTTAGGGAGAAAAGGTCAGGAATACCTGAATGTGGTGGACCCTCCCACATTCATTAGGAATGAGTTAGGAAAATGCCCCACTGATAAGCCCACAGGCCTCTGATGGGGGCATTTTCTCCATTGAGGTTCTCTTCCCAGATGACCCCAGTTTACATCAGATTGACAAGAACAGCTACTGACTGCACACTAGCAAAGGCCATCCAGCTACTGCCTAGTATCTTGTCCCAAAGCTACTCACATTTTTAGTTATTATTTAATGGTCTCAAAATCTGTTTTATTCTGCTTGGGCCTCCAATACAAAATACCACAGACAGATGGCTTAAACAAAAGAAATGTATTTCCCCCCCCCAGTTCTTCATACTGAAAGTAGAAGGCTAGTGTCTGGTAAAGGTCCTCCTCTTTACAGATGGCACCATCACACTGTGCCTTCATGTTTGGAGCAGGCAGGTGGGGTCTCCGGGTCTTTAAGACTAGAACCTCGCTGGGCGCTGGGCAGTAGTGGCACACGCCTTTAATCCGAGTACGCAGGAGGCAGAAGCAGGTAGATTCTGTGAGTTTGAGGCCAGGCTGGTCTACAAGAGCTAGTTCCAGGACAGGCTCCAAAGCTACAGAGAAACCCTGTATCAAAAACAAAACAAACAAACAAACAAAAAAACAAAAACAAAAAGACTAGAACCTCACCCTTGTGACCACATTGAACCTTATTTACCTAAGAGCCATGTCCAAATATAGTCACTTTGGGGGATAGTGCTTTAACTTACTATGAATTGAGGGAAAGTGCAATTTAGTCCATAAAATTGTGCAAGCCTCTCAGCTTCTCCTCCATCAGACTCTCTAGATCTATCACAGAGAGAAATGAAGGGAAATGGGGGAAGGACATTTCATAGAGGACCCGTAACCTGTGGTGATAATAAGTAGATATGACACCCTTACTGTCGGTGCCAAAAAATACTCACTACATGGTCTTGCTTAATCCTGACGGTGGCCCAATTGTTTTCCATTTTACAGGTAAAAATTTGAGAAGGTGAGGCTGAGTCACTTGCTCAAGCTCACTTTGCCGCCCCGAGGCCATCTGGCTGCAGTGTATAGGCGCCAATCAATATATTTGAAACCAATATGAAAGTACAAAGGCTCTGTACTTTCAAAGTGTGAAGTAGATACTCCTGGCTACAGACTCCCAAAGGCTATATCACTTAATTTGTAGGCTAACTCTATGAGACAGCTTTTATGAACTTTGCTTTGTTGCACGTAAAGATGCAAGAGCTCGGAGAAACTGAGAGTCTGAAGTCACACA